TACTTCTGTTTAATAAATACTAGTGATGGGTAAATGAAACCTCACGTATCGTTTCGGCACATCCAACGAACTGTATTGATACTGTGCCGCAACAGTGTTGCTTGTGCTGCTCTATACTGACGCCTGGTGGATCTGATAAATCATTACATCCAACTCACTGATTCAATGAGCTTTACATACTTGTCTGTACACAATATTACGTAACTGCATTGTCTGTGTTATTTTATTTTTTATGTGAAAATTAAAGTGATAGTTGTGGATGTATTCATTAAGCACCTGTCATTGAGTGATTTTATATCTATATATTATATAATCTATCTATTTTTTTTTTTCAAACAAAAGCATGTCCAAAGTGCACTGTAACCCCTGGCACAACTAAAGTATACTTGAAAAATCCTTTGACCTTTTCTACACTTCACTTTCGCGAAATCATTCTTCAGGACTGTGATGTCCAACATAAACCTTTGAGGTTCCGACAGGGATTCGTACCCGGTCTCTATTAAACGCGGGGCGCAGAGTGCTATCCACTCCATCCCACCATGCCTAAACTAGATTTTCCGTTTCAAACTAAATCTTGATTGTAGATAAAAGCGTGAAATGTAAAATACAAACATTGCTTATTTGCTGTTCTTTGCAGTTATCACACTGCCGAATACTTTCTTTTAGTTGCAGGGTCAATTTTTATGCTGTTAAAATGGGATGTGTTTATCCTATTTTGAAAGGGTTATTTTCTTATTCTGAGAGCGGTTCACACCGGTGACACTTGCAGATGCGGAACCTTTTAAACACAGTTTGCCGTGTCGGACACGCGACACTGCGGCTGTAATCGGTCACGTGGCCTTTTTCATAAAGCGACACGCGCGCCGATACGAGGTTTCGCCAAACGAACTCGGCACATGCGCCGGTGTCTCAGTGTTGCTGGACCCAATCACTAATAAATACTGTTTCCTGCATCTTTGGGACTGCCACTGTGTTCGTCTTAATAAAAAGAGGATTGTTTCCTGTTCTGAGCTACAACCTGTAAACGTCCTTTGAGCGTACTGTGATCGTACCTGTGAACGTACCTATGATACGTACCTGTGAGCCTTTAGAGCCTGAAGTCCTTTTACTGTGGTTTCAAACACTTCTTATTGTTCATATTAGAAGCATTTACAGATATTTCTCTCGGTGTTGTGTGCTCTCCCTTCTGTCTGTGCGCTGCAACACCGACATTTCCCACTGTGGACCATAAGGTTCTCTGATCTCATCTTAGAACAAAAGCCTCCCTCTGGTCTCTCTCCATAGGGAGTGAGTTATACAGTTATTATTTATCATTCTCAAACATGACACGACCAAAGTCCACAGTCTCATCTCCTTTAAAGGAAGGAGGGTTTCTCTGCTCAGTTCTAACTTTATGAAATCCACCTTTGCACAAGTGAACCTTTGCTATGAAACAAAGGTGAAGCACAGAAAGTGTAGAAGAGGAAAACCTAAGAATCCATCACAGAAAGCATCAGACAGAAGCACAGAAAAATGTCAACTTTACTGTGTTCACCAAACAACACATTTGAATTTTATAATAAACAAATAACAATTAACACAAACAAATGAATTTTCAGAACGTCCAATAAACAACATTAAACAGTGAACACGATGCACACATATCCTCCAGTGGTCTCAGCACTTGTGGAGGGACATGAAGTGAGATCCTGTAGAGTCTGAAGCCTAGTGTATACTTGCGCGGCGTGGCTTACGTTAGCGGTGGACCTACGTAAGCACAATGGATGTTCTACTGGCGCGTTGCCCTTACGGAGTTTTGAGGAGAATGTTGTACTTACACAACAAACACATGAGGGCGATCCACACAGGAGCGGGTCCCATTTACGCTGCTACTTTGTCCTCTTCAGAACAACAATAACAAAGCTGTTTGAGCTCATTACACGTGTTTCTACTGTAGGTTTATGTGATAGTTTTAGGATTCATATATTTTATACAGTCATATCAACTGTGATGCTGTGAATAAAGACAGTTCTTGTTGGAAACCTATGTTTCCACCCAATTTACGAGTGCCGGGAAGCCACACAACGCCGCTACGATTCAACCAAAGACCGGAACCGTGCAAAGAAACGACTGCCCAGTTTATATACGTTAATGTTACGATAGTCCACAGTCTCCTGTGGATCCGGCTCTGAGCCCAACTGCTATTTCCTTCGACGCACACAGCTCTCTGCTCCCTAGTCATGCTCCTAGCTGCAGCCGCTTCCTTGCTTCCTTCCAATACACCACACAGACCAATCACAGCGGAGCTCCTGCGGCGACCCTTACGTAGTTAGAAAAATTTTGATGCTGCGCCGGCAGGAACGTAAGGGCCTGAGCGGTGACCAACACGTTGCGCAAGTGACGTCACGTCACTCGTAAGCTCCGCGCGGCGTCTAAACCTAGGCTTGCCTCTGGGCTCACAGGATACAGCCTCCAGCTCTGTCTCCTTCACTTTGTTCCAGAGGCTTCAGAGCTGCTTCTCTGCAGGTTTATAATGTGTCCCCGCAGCATGTGACCTGTAGTGTAAAAGACTTTCCACACTTTTCACAGACACATGGTTCTCTCCAGTGTGGTCCTTCTGAAGACCTTTTGAGAGCACTACTGCGAGGACAAACTAGACCCACATCTTCACAGCCTGAAGGGGTTTTTCTCCAGTGTGGATTCTATGTGATTGTTAAGCACTCCTCTTTGGGAAAAAACTGTGTCCACACTGGTCACACTCGTACGGCTTCTCTCCAGTGTTGGCTCCGCTGGTGACGTTGTGCGATCTGATGCAGTTTTAAACGTTTTACCTGCAGACGTCCACTGCACTGGTTTTTCTCCAGTGTGGATTCTCTCATGCCTTTAGTGTAGTGGACGACTGCGTAAAACGTCTTACCACCGTCTCCACCCAGGCCGCACTGGATAATTCCTCCCCGTTGTGGATTCTGTAGTGCACCAGTGCGGTTCGCTCATAGTCGAATACCAAGTCTTTTCCACCATGGTCACCCTTGGTGAGGTATTCTGTCTCTGTGTGGACATGCTGATGCTAGGTGTGAGCTGGTTTATTTTCTCCCTAAAGTAATTTCTCACTGGTCACACTCCAAAGGGTTCTCTCCTGTGTGGATCCTTGATGATTCTTTGAGGTGGACCCTCTCTTCAAAACCTTGCGATCACAATCGTCACAGCTTGAAGGGTTTTTCTCCAGTGATGGGCTTCTCCTGAAGTTTTTCTCGAGCCTCCAACAAAACTACTGTAAGATGATGAAAACCGTGAGCGTGCGATTCTTACAGCCTATGCCCGTTTAAGGTGTGCAAGGAGATAACAGGCATATTGGAGGGCAAATAAACTTTGAAGAAGTAGCTGCGGTGCAATATGAACATAAATAGTTCATGAATGCTGATAAAGAATGCAAGAGGAGGAATCAGAAGCGTCACCTGCCAACAGGAAAAAAACATTGTGTGAGGGTTGTCTGTAGCCCTGGGCTCGTTTGGCCGGGGGCAAAGCTGAAATGAAAGACGCAAGGTCAATTTGTTCAGTGTAAACAAAAGTTGAGGCTGTGAGCTGCATTGTTAGAACATTAAAATAGTCGCTGGAAAAGCAATGGCTCGTTTTCCCTTCAGTTTCACCGACATTTTGACTTTTAAAAAGATTAAACCACAGGAGCCCTTCCACAGATTGCATCATTGAATCCACTACAATCCCAGAGCCCGACTTGTCTGACTTCAAGTATGAAAGCAGAGAAAATATTAATAATTCTTGAAAAGGAAGAATTCCCTTTTGTGCATGTGAACTTGTATCATTGTACTTATTTCCCAAGTGTGTAGTCTCTGGTGTGGATGCAGTCACGGCTTACAGCAAAAAATACTTTGAGGAACTCCAAACCACAGAAGCAACCACATAATGGGAATAAGAGAAAAAAGGCCAAATCATTTAAGGTGTAAACAGAAGTGTGAGTGGGACCACACAGAAACATAGAACAGCTTCCAATATTAGAATTAAAGACAAAGACAGTTTCTTTTCAAACGCTATAGGAAAGAGGAGTGTCATTCATTATGCACAATAAAGCTACAACAACTAAGGCTGGATTCATTTAATTTGCCATTTGCCGTAAACCACATTGGAATGACTGTGCAAAACTATCCCAGTGTGCACCAAATAGTTCACACCGTGTAACTCCTCTTCAGCCCATTGCGCTGTTACTGCAACATTATGGGTGATGTCAACAATTCAGATTGAGAAAAGTTGCGATGGCGATTTTGGCACAGCTCTAAACATGCAACATTGCAAATAAATACAGTGGTGGAGAAATTCAAAAACACAATCATGACAAAGTGTTGAGAACCTGCTCCGTTCCAGGACAATATGCCAAGAAACCAAAATAATTACAACAGTGGTAGGGCTGAAAAATGAGGATGAAACGGATCCTGCTTTGGCTCAGAACTATCAGCATTTGTTTGGACATGGCTCTATAAATTATGAATGTATGCATTATAAAACGTATTTACAATAAATGCAAAAGAAAATACAGTATGACCATATATTAGGCAGAATCATCCTAAATCGAGGGAATGCATTATTTTGCAAGTAAGGAGCAAACAGTGGCATCTAGTGGGCATAAAGCTATTTACAGTTGGTTTGGGACTTTTCTTCCCAGTTCAGTTACAATGATAAGTATGAGAAAAAAGCAGGTTTTGTTCCACCGAAGAAAACAGAACTGTGTGAGGGACCAGGCAAAGCTAGAAAACCAAATGAGGACTCAACCTATCAACCAAATCAAGCCTCTGCAAGCGATGCAATTTACATTAATCTAGCTTTACATCTCAATTACCAATATCCAAAGTCCACTGCAAGGTTTGATAGAATGCACTAGGTCTAAGCAATGTAAGCAAAGCATTACATCCTTCTTGCACTCTGAGGTGTCAAGAGAAGCAAATGGCAAGTATCAAAACTATAGTGTGTACAATGAAAGCAATTACGAATAGTAAAACAACCTGTGAATGTTAAAGTGTGGGACTGACCAGTTTGTTTTCCTGTAGGTAAAGTCTCTGGAGTTTGGGACAGCCTTTTGCGAGGGCCTCCATGCCTTCATCCGTTATACTGTAGCACTGGCCCAAGTGGATGTCCTTCAGCTCCCCACAATACTCTCCCAACTGACACAAAAACACACAAACACACACCAACACACATTTGTTTAGAAAATACAAATAATGCAAGGGAAGTCAATGTCACCATGTGAATAAGCTGTAAAGTGGAAGCCTGCTAAGGTTCCGGAGGTGAAACTTGTGTCTTTAAACTCTCTATAATTGGACATTGCTAAACTCAAACTAAAGTGTGGAGACGCCGCTGTCGTGGACTCGTCTGCAATCTGATATGTTGATCTCGGTCACGTTGTGTCTACGGGAGGCTATCTTCACCAACAGCTCATCATTAACCTGCAGAGCAAAAGAGAAGAAAGTCAAGCAAAAACTAAACTCATGTCACTTGATAACCGGCACTACAAGTCATGCAGAGTTTATTTAAAACTGTGGTATCTAACATTTTTTCTCTTGTACAACACATGCAGTTTGTCCCAATTCCCATCAGAAAGAGTCTGGTAAAAGTTGTGGCCAAATCAGACTGTATGCTATTCAATATATTTTTGAATAGCCCTATATCACAACAGTCAGAGAATCAAACATTTCAGAATCAGAATCAGAATCAGAATCATTTTTATTGCCACGTAAGTAACAGGAAGTCATAGACTTGGAAATTCCTTTGGCTCAGTGCAACAGTCAGAAAGGGATAATAAAAATAAAGAATAAAAAACACTTCTAAGGAATACATTTAAATTTTAAATAGAGTTAGTTACTATTTACAATATACAAGTGCACACAACAGGTGCACACAATGTAAGGTGACAGCAGTACAGTGAAGTAAAGTGACGTATGATGGGCAGTAAAGTGACTTTATAAAGGGCGGGGGGACAGGTTAAGAAGTGTTCAAGAGTCCAACAGCAGAGGGGAAGAAACTGTTCTTGTGGCGGGAGGTTCTAGTCCTGATGGACCGCAGCCTCCTGCCTGAGGGGAGTGGTTGGAATAGTCCATGTGCAGGGTGAGAGGGGTCGGCTGTGATACGACCAGCCCGGCCTCGAGCTCGGGCGACGTACAGGTCCTGCAGCGATGGAAGGCTGCGGCCGATCACTTCCTCTGCAGAGCGCACAATGCGCTGTGGTCTCTGTTTGTCCCTGACTGTGGCTCCAGCGAACCACACGGTGATGGAGGAGGTGAGGATGGACTCGATGATGGCCGTGTAGAACTGCACCAACATCTGTGCAGGCAGCTTGGCTTTCCTGAGCTGCCGCAGGAAGTACATCCTCTGCTGGGCCTTCTTGATGAGGGAGCTGATGGTCGGCTCCCACTTGAGGTCCTGGGTGATGGTGGTGCCCAGGAAACGGAAGGACTCCACAGAGGTGATGGGGGAGTCCATCACGGAGGGTGGGGGCGGGGGGACAGTGCTCTTCCTGAAGTCCACAATCATCTCCACTGTCTTCTGGGGGTTCAGCTCCAGGTTGTTACCACTGCACCAGGACACCAGCCGGTCCACCTCCCTCCTGTAGGCAGACTCATCGTTGTTGGAGATGAGTCCAATGAGGGTGGTGTCGTCCGCGAACTTGATCAGCTTCACGGAGTCGTGGCTGGAGGTGCAGTGGTTGGTGTACAGGGAGAAGAGCAGGGGAGAAAGAACACAGCCCTGTGGGGCTCCTGTATTTATAATCCGAGAGTCCGAGACATTCTTCCCCAGACGCACTTCCTGTCCGTCAGGAAGTCAGTGATCGTGTTGAAAGCAGAGCTGAAGTCCACGAACAGGACCCTGGCGTAGGTCCCCGGGGAGTCCAGGTGCTGTAGGATGTGGTGGAGGGCCAGGTTAATGGCGTCGCCTACAGATCTGTTGGCTCTGTAGGCGAACTGCAGGGGGTCCAGGAGGGGGGAGATGAAGGACTTGAGATGGGAGAGGACCAGGCGTTAAAATGACGACGTGAGCGTACGATACACACAGAATTTACACCAGGTCATGAGGGGGGTAAATGTGTACGCTCATTTCACCCTTCGTCACAACACGACAAAACACGCATGAAGTTCAAGATTTGGACGACAATAAACATGTTCCCACTCTGGAAAAATTATAAGCTGCGTTTTCATGGAGCGTCATGTTTCTAAATTTTGAACAAATCACCCTCTTCTGTTTCTTCGTTTTTAAATCTGACTTGTGTATTATTTTCATCTGGATGTTTTTGTATTTTTAATGTGAAGCGCTCTGTGATCCTGCTCTGTGATCCTGCTCTGTGATCCTGCTCTGTGATCCAGCTCTGTGATCCTGCTCTGTGATCCTGCTCTGTGATCCTGCTCTGTGATCCTGCTCTGTGATCCAGCTCTGTGATCCTGCTCTGTGATCCTGCTCTGTGATCCAGCTCTGTGATCCTGCTCTGTGATCCTGCTCTGTGGTCCTGCTCTGTGATCCAGCTCTGTGATCCTGCTCTGTGATCTTGCTCTGTGATCCAGCTCTGTGATCCAGCTCTGTGATCTGCTCTGTGATCCTGCTCTGTGATCCAGCTCTGTGATCCTGCTCTGTGATACAGCTCTGTGATCCTGCTCTGTGATCCTGCTCTGTGATCCTGCTCTGTGATCCTGCTCTGTGATCCAGCTCTGTGATCCTGCTCTGTGATCCTGCTCTGTGATCCAGCTCTGTGATCCTGCTCTGTGATCCTGCTCTGTGATCCTGCTCTGTGATCCAGCTCTGTGATCCTGCTCTGTGATCCTGCTCTGTGATCCTGCTCTGTGATCCAGCTCTGTGATCCTGCTCTGTGATCCAGCTCTATGATCCTGCTCTGTGATCCAGCTCTGTGATCCTGCTCTGTGATCCTGCTCTGTGATCCTGCTCTGTGATCCAGCTCTGTGATCCAGCTCTGTGATCCTGCTCTGTGATCCTGCTCTGTGGTCCTGCTCTGTGATCCAGCTCTGTGATCCTGCTCTGTGATCCTGCTCTGTGATCCTGCTCTGTGATCCAGCTCTGTGATCCTGCTCTGTGATCCTGCTCTGTGATCCTGCTCTGTGATCCTGCTCTGTGATCACTTTTTGCGCTAAAGCATGCCGACTGCCTGCATCATTTGGGGGTGCAGTTAATCGCGTAGAATGTGGGGGCATTTCGAAGGCTATTCCGAGCCAGGGGACTGACTTGGGACGGAGATATGACTCCATCTAAATGAATGAGAGGAGGAGATGGTGGTAGACAGAAGTGATTTGCGGCCTGTGATATCAACTGCTTCGTTCAAATTAAAATATTGATTGAAAGAAATATTGCATCATATACATCATGACATTATTTTAATTGTAAAACTGTTAAGTGAAAGTAAGCCATTTCTGGGAAGTCCACTGGTCTCGCAACGTTTCATACGGATCCAAATCTCCCGATTCTCAAAGGATCTTTCCTCACAGATTACTCCAGTGTTATCAATATACTTAACGCGGTCAGTGTCGGCCAAATTCGTGGCTCTAGATGACATGCGGACAGATAATCCGTGAGAAATGATCAGTGACAAATGATACGTGCAATATAAGCTTGACTCACAAAATGCCGTTCACGCAAAGCATCATGGGTAATAAGCACGTGATGGAAAACTATGTGGCAGTCCAGCTCCCCCCTGGACTGCCACCTTAACGTGGTGGGGGAGTTTGAGTACTCGGATGATCCTGGGAGCTAAGCTGTCTGGGGCTTCATGCCCCTGGTAGGGCCTCCCATGGCAGACAGGTCTCAGGTGACGAGTCAGACAAAGAGCAGTCCAGAAGACACCATGGACAACACTAATATGAAAACAGTGACGTCGCCCGGCATGGCGCAGCCGGGGCCCCACCCTGGAGCCAGGCCTGGGGTCGGGGCCCGTATGCGAGCGCCTGGTGGCCGGGCCTTAGCCCACGGGGCCCGGCCGGGCTCAGCCCGAAGGGATGACGTGGGCAGTCCCTCCTGTGGGCCCACCACCTGCAGAGGGGTCCGTGGTGAAGCGGTGCTGAGAGGACTGGGCGGCAGTCGAAGGCGGAGACCTCGGCGACCCAGTCCGCACACACAACATCTGGCTCTTGGGACGTGGAACGTCACCTCACTGGGGGGGAAGGAGCCCGAGCTTGTGGGGGAGGTTGAGCGATACCGACTAGAGATAGTCGGCCTCACCTCCACACACAGCTTGGGCTCTGGAACCCAACTCCTTGAGAGGGGTTGGACGCTCCACTTTTCTGGAGTTTCCCGCGGGGAGAGGCAGCGAGCTGGGGTGGCCATTCTCATTGCCCCCCATCTCAGCCGCCACGTGTTGGAGTTCTCCCCGGTGAATGAGAGGGTCGCGTCCCTCCGCCTCCGGGTGGGGGACAAGTCTCTCATTGTTGTGACGGCCTACGGGCCTAACAGCAGTGTAGAGTACCCGGCCTTCTTGGAGTCCTTGGGAGGGGTACTGGACGGTGCACCGCCCGGGGACTCCGTTATTCTCCTGGGGGACTTCAACGCCCATGTGGGAAACGCTAGTGACACTTGGAGAGGGGTGATCGGGAAGAGCGGCCCCCCTGATCTGAACCCGAGCGGTGCTCAGTTGTTGGACTTCTGTGCCAGTCACGGTTTGTCCATCACGAACACCATGTTCGAGCACAAGGGTGTCCACCAGTGCACGTGGCACCAGGACACCCTAGGCCGGAGGTCGATGATCGACTTTGTTGTCGTATCATCTGACCTTCGACCGCGTGTCTCGGACACTCGGGTAAAGAGAGGGGCGGAGCTGTCAACCGATCATCACCTGGTCGTGAGTTGGATCCGCTGGCAGGGGAAGAAGCCGGTCAGACCTGGCAGACCCAAGCGTATAGTGAGGGTCTGCTGGGAACGTCTCGCTGAGCCCCCTGTCAGACGGACTTTCAACTCACACCTCCGGGAGAGTTTCTCCCAGGTCCCGGCGGAGGAGGGGGATATGGAGTCCGAGTGGACCATGTTCTCTGCCTCAATCGCCGATGCGGCGGCTCGTAGCTGTGGTCGCAAGGTCTCTGGTGCTGGTCCCGGCGGCAACCCCCGAACCCGGTGGTGGACACCGGCAGTAAGGGATGCTGTCAGGCTGAAGAAGGAGTCCTATCGAGCCATGATGGTTCGGGGGACTCCTGAGGCAGCTGTCCAGTACCGGCAGGCCAAGCGTGCCGCGGCCCGGGCTGTTGCAGAGGCAAAAACCCGGGACTGGGAGGAGTTCGGAGAGTCCATGGAGCATGACTATCGGTCGGCCTCGAAGAGATTCTGGCAAACCATCCGGCGCCTCAGGAGGGGGAAGCAGTTCTTTGCCAGCACCATGTACGGTGCGGGTGGAGAGCTGCTGACATCGACTGGGGATATTGTCGGGCGGTGGAAGGAATACTTTGAGGTTCTCCTCAATCCCCCCGTCACGTCCTCTGTTACAGAGGCAGAGGCTGAGGATGTTGGGGCGGGTACATCCATCTCCCTGGCTGAGGTCACCAAGGTGGTTGGTAGCCTCCATGGTGGCAAGGCTCCGGGTGTGGATGAGATCCGCCCTGATTATCTAAAGTCTCTGGATGTTGTAGGACTGTCTTGGCTGACACGTCTCTGCAACATCGCGTGGCGATCGGGGGCAGTGCCAATGGAGTGGCAGACCGGGGTGGTGGTCCCTCTCTACAAGAAGGGGGACCGGAGGGTATGTTCCAATTATCGTGGGATCACACTCCTCAGCCTCCCCGGTAAGGTCTACTCCAGGGTACTGGAGAGGAGGCTACGGCCGATGGTCGAATCTCGGATCCAGGAGGAGCAGTGTGGTTTTCGTCCCGGTCGCGGAACACTGGACCAGCTCTATACTCTCCATCGGATACTCGAGGGTTCATGGGAGTTCGCCCAACCTGTCCACATGTGCTTTGTGGATTTGGAGAAGGCGTTCGACTGTGTTCCCCGGGGTGTCCTTTGGGGGGTTCTCCGGGAGTACGGGGCGGGGGTCCTCTGCTGAGGGCCATCCGATCCCTGTATGACCAGAGCCAGAGCTGTGTTCGCATTGCCGGCAGTAAGTCAGACCTGTTCCCGGTGAATGTTGGCCTCCGACAGGGCTGCCCTTTGTCACCGGTTCTGTTCACTGTATTTATGGACAGAATATCTAGGCGCAGCCAGGGGTCGGAGGGGGTCCGGTTCGGAGACCACAGGATTTCATCTCTGCTGTTTGCGGACGATGTTGTCCTGTTGGCTCCAACGAACCAGGACCTGCAGCATGCACTGGGACGGTTTGCAGCCGAGTGTGAAGCGGCTGGGATGAGAATCAGCACCTCCAAATCCGAGGCCATGGTGCTCGACCGGAAAAAGGTGCCTTGCCCTCTGCAGGTGGGTGGAGAGGTCCTTCCTCAAGTGGAGGAGTTCAAAGTATCTCGGGGTCTTGTTCACGAGTGAGGGAAGAATGGAGCGTGAGATTGACAGGCGGATCGGTGCAGCGTGCGCAGTTATGCGGTCGCTGTATCGGACCGTTGTGGTGAAGAGGGAGCTGAGCCGAAAGGCAAAGCTCTCGATTTACCGGTCAATCTTCGTTCCCTCCCTCATCTATGGTCATGAGCTTTGGGTAATGACCGAAAGAACGAGATCGCGGATACAAGCGGTCGAAATGAGCTTCCTCCGCAGAGTGGCTGGGCGCTCCCTTAGAGATAGGGTGAGGAGCTCAGTCACACGGGAGGAGCTCGGAGTAGAACCGCTGCTTCTCCACGTCGAGAGGAACCAGTTGAGGTGGCTCGGGCATCTGTTCCGGATGCCTCCTGGACGCCTCCCTGGGGAGGTGTTCCGGGCACGTCCCACCGGGAGGAGGCCCCGCGGAAGACCCAGGACACGCTGGAGGGACTATATCTCTCAGCTGGCCTGGGAACGCCTTGGGGTCCCCCCGGACGAGCTGGAGGAAGTGTGTGTGGATAGGGAAGTCTGGGCGTCTCTGCTTAGACTGCTGCCCCCGCGACCCGGCAACGGATAAAGCGGAAGAAAATGGATGGATGGATGGATGGATGGATGGATGGAAAACTATGTATATATGTATGGCCCAGTGGGGCGGGTCCCGGCTCAAAAGTGGCCAAAAATCACGTGCGCTGACATGCTGCAATACCACCCCGGGCCTGTGGGGGGTGGACCCAGAAGTAGAATTAGCCAATGCTAACATATAGCATTGGCAGACCTCTCAAAAACGTCTTTAGAGGATGGACCAAAAGTTGGCTCTTGGCCCAAAGCTCCGTTCCACATGTGTGTCAATGCTGAGGGGGGTGGATTTTTTTGGACCACTCTAGTTTAGACGCTGTGAATTTTTGAAGTCTCTCGTTCAAATGAATGGAGTTGCGCCGGCTGACGCATGCACAGATGCGTTTTTTCACAATTTTCTTGTGGGCGGGACCACTCGCGGCCATTTTGGATTGCTCCAGTAGAGCAAATTTTTTGGCCCATTAGTTAGAACGGCGGAGATAGGCGTGACTCTGTCCGTTAATATCAGATTCAGATTCATTTATTTGCCATTTGCAGTAAAACCACATAGGAAAAACTGTGCAAGACTACCCCAGTGTGCACCAGACAGAGAAGACGACACACACCAGAGCTCTTGCCACGGCGCCATCTTTACGGCGCCATGCGAAAAACAGTAGAATAAACAGCAGAGAGCAATAACACACAGTTTCACAGACAATTGGATAGACACATTGTGCTTTGTATAAACCACGGATTTTTTTCTCGGGATGAGCACCTCCGACAGCCGGCCCAATGTGGCTGTCAGAGGGGGGCGGGGTCAGGGAGGGGGTGAGTCGGAAACACAATGAGGAGTGGAGGGGAGGGAGGGAGCGATGGATAGGTTAAGGGAGGCGGGGGGAGCGGTATCCGAGCTGGACTTAACTGAAATAGTGTGAATTGTTGTAGATTGGGGGACCTTGTTATTATGGCCTTGGCCGAGGAATGTGAGATAAGAGTGGAGAGAAGACACAGCAGGAGAAAAACACATCGCCTGAGAGGGACAATATTGTATGCAATGTAGCAGTCAAAAACAGGCAGATATTCTATTAAATCCAATTAATCCGAATTGCGG